ATATCAAAACCACACACATTCCAGTCGGAGTTAGATCTAATCCGTTCCCTGACATTTCCCCGAATCAATTTTACCAAATGCCATTTAAGAGTGTCGAACGGTCTCTGAAATTTTTTGGCATTTAATAATCGCCCTATTAAAACAGCACTGAACGTGAAAATGATAAACATTGATTTTAAAATACTTTTTTCTCAAAACGCGGACATTTTTTTCAAAATCGGAAAAATATCAAGGATCCTTATGTTATAAATTTCCTAAATCTGAAAGAATGTGTAAATCGATACAAAAACGCGATTGTAAAATGAAAAGTATGAAAGTAATATCAAGTAATATAATGACAGCTGCGACATTGTGCTCCCTGTATGCTTCTGCCACCTAACGGCTGCAGGATGTAATAAACCTAAAATTATATTACTTTCGTAATTTTCATTTTACAATCGCATTTTTGTATAGATTTTCACAATCTTTCAGATTTAAGAAACCTCTTTTTACTGAGATCTGAATAGAAATTTTGATATTTTTTTTTTTCAATTGCGAAACATTTTGGTTTGATAATAAAAGTTAGTATAGTTTTACGAATACCTTTAACTGGAAACATTTTGCGAAAACTGAAATTATTATTTCTTAATTCAAATCTACAATTTTCCAATATTGAAAAAACTATAGGAAAAAATAGTATAGGAAGTAAACAGTCTAGCACTTTGTTATTTACTAAATTTATACGAAAAATCAGAACCAACATTTTGTAATTTGCTAAAACTATACGAAAAAGCAGGAGCCGTTGAAAAAGATGAACGTCGGAAACACCAATGTCTCTTTTCTTCTTTATATACTAAATAGACAGATTTTTCTGCACTTGTGAGAAACTTAATATTACATTGTTAAATATTTAAAAATAAAAATAAAAATAATTATTTGTTAAGAAATAATAAAATATTTTATTACCTTTTAAAGAACAATTTTTATCATAAAATCATTTAATTTAATTATAGAACCCTGTGGGCAAAATCCTTGTTCGTTCTAAAAACGTTTTAAGGACGTTCTTAGAACGTTTCATGTCCGCCAAATAATGTTCTGGAACATTTTAAGAACATGGATGTTCAAATAATGTTCCAGCCCTATTGAAAAAAAACACGTATAATTATACGTATAATAATACGTATAATTATACGTATAATTGTACGTATAATTATACGTATAATTGTACGTATAATTATACGTATAATAAGACATACGAATTTGAAACAAGAATTATACGTATAATTATACGTATAATAATACGTATAATTAATTATACGTATAATAATACGTATAATTAATTATACGTATAATAATACGTATAATAATACGTATAATAATACGTATAATAATACGTATAATTATACGTATTATTATACGTATAATTATAATTCTATTAAAAATAGAATAATAGAATAGAATAGATTAATTAGTAGCAAAATTGCGCTGAAAAATTTTAGAAATTTTAAAATGCAAATTAAATTTCACGAAAAAAAATATCGTCGAATGTCAATTCAAGCAGTCACCCATCCAAGTACTAACCGCGTCCAACGTTGCTTAACTTCCGTGATCTGATGAGAACTTGTTCCTTCGCCTTGGTGTTTCCGCTGTCTTGTCTTGATTAATAACTTTGTCGTATAAGTATCACTAAAAGTGAGGTTAGGTGCGATACAATACTTATACGACAAAGTTATTAATCAAGACAAGACAGCGGAAACACCAAGGCGAAGGAACAAGTTCTCATCAGATCACGGAAGTTAAGCAACGTTGGACGCGGTTAGTACTTGGATGGGTGACTGCTTGAATTGACATTCGACGATATTTTTTTTCGTGAAATTTAATTTGCATTTTAAAATTTCTAAAAATTTTCAGCGCAATTTTGCTACTAATTAATCTATTCTATTCTATTATTCTAGTTTTAATAGAATTATAATTATACGTATAATAATACGTATAATTATACGTATTATTATACGTATTATTATACGTATTATTATACGTATTATTATACGTATAATTAATTATACGTATTATTATACGTATAATTATACGTATAATTCTTGTTTCAAATTCGTATGTCTTATTATACGTATAATTATACGTATAATAATACATATAATTATACGTATAATAATACGTATAATTATGCGTATAATTATACGTATAATTATACGTATAATAATACGTATAATTATACGTATTATTATACGTACAATTATACGTGTTTTTTTTCAATAGGGAGAACATTATTTGGTGGACATGAAACGTTCTAAAAACGTTTTTTGCTCACAGGGAAGCAAACTTGTAACAATTATTCTATATAATTATATTTAGAAAAAGAAATATAGAATAATTTAAAACAATTATTTATCAACACTTTTTCTAGTCTATATTGCAGAAATAAAAATTATATAAAAATTATGAGCAAACAAATGAAGTATTTTATTATTAAATATATTAATTAAAATTATTTTTAATTCATATTACAGTATTAAACATTATTTTAAAATCAGGATGTCCAGCAAGGCTTAAAGAAAAAAATTCCCTGACTTTTCTCTGACATTTTTTTTTCGTGACTACTCGTTAGTGATCGGTCAAACCCGGTTTTTGAATCTCTGGACACTAAATAAACAAAATTTCAAAGATTCAAAATCGTAACCGATCCTCCTGCATGACTTTTTATGTATTTATTGTTTTTTTATGCATTATAATGAAAAATTGCTTCATTACGATGTGCAGATCAGTTGAAATTACTAGTGCAATTTTTTTATACTTATTAAATGTAAAAATAATAATAATAATAATACATAACTATAATTTTTGGGAATAAAAGTTGGATGATCAATATTGTAATTTTCAATCCGCACTGTCAACAAAAATAATAAGAGAGTATTTTCCCTAGAACACCGCAGATGCAAACATTAGATTATCCAAATTTTCTATCACTTCTTATTCTTATTAATATACGCAACATTAGTTACTGCTATTGGAATTTGTATTTGTATCGTGTAAGAAAATAAATGATAACAAGTTGGCTAAAATTAGTTCAAAGTTTTGTAGATGTAGTTGATTTATTTTTAATCACGCGTTTTGTCATGATTAAAATAGAAAGTTTGTTGATGTGGTAAAAAAAATTGTTTGCAAAGACGGTAATTTAAAAACTTTTTTCTTCACTGAAAGTCATAAAAAGATCTTCCAAACTTTTATGAATAAAAGTTTTTCTTTAAGTAATTTAAAATTTCCAACGATAGAATTCCCGTTGATAAGTTCACATAATATTGTTTGACAATTTACACACATGCTCGATACAAAGTTTTGAATTATTTAAAGAAAAATTTCTATTCTCATAAGTTTTGATCAGCTTTTCTTGGTTTACTGTGATGAAAAATTTTGTAAATTACCGTCTTTGCAAACAATTTTTCTACCACACAAGGCACAAATTTTTTTATATTTCAATCATGACAACAGGCGTGATTTAACTTGTAGTAATAAGTCATTTTTAAATAGATTAAAAATAAATCAACTTATACATCTACAAAACTTTGAACTAATTTTAGCCAACTTGTTATCATTAATTTTTTTACACGATACAAATACAAATTCCAATAGCAGTAACTAATGTTGCGTATATTAATAAGAATAAGAAGTGATAGAAAATTTGGATAATCTAATGTTTGCATTTGCGGTGTTCTAGGGAAAATACTCTCTTATTATTTTTGTTGACAGTGCGGATTGAAAATTACAATATTGATCATCCAACTTTTATTCCCAAATATTATAGTTATGTATTATTATTATTATTATTTTTACATTTAATAAGTATAAAAAAATTGCACTAGTAATTTCAACTGATCTGCACATCGTAATGAAGCAATTTTTCATTATAATGCATAAAAAAACAATAAATACATAAAAAGTCATGCAGGAGGATCGGTTACGATTTTGAATCTTTGAAATTTTGTTTATTTAGTGTCCAGAGATTCAAAATATATGAGTTTTTTTTCGGCATCGGGGACCAACTTTTTCTTCATTTAAGACAGGTGTCGGACACACTCGCTTAACTTCGTCAAACTTTGGTGATTTTTGATATTTTTCTATCATTTTTTGAAAGAAAAAGTTTCTATTAGTATTATATGTAGAAGGATTTAACACCAATCCACTTTCTTATCGACTATATCAAAATGTAAAATGATTATACCAGTTAACGAAATTGTAAATACAGAGAATGAAATACTTTATTCTAATACTTGTTACAGCGCGTACTAGAACTTAACATTTGGAGTTTTCATAATACAATTATGAATTTCGCAAAAACTATTCCAATTTTTGTTTCTAAATATATTAAACTTTATTATTTTTATTTTAGGCATTCTTAAAAAAAGTAACGAAAGTTATTACCACCCCAAAATCTGCAAAATCTTCCGCAATTGTAACTTAATATACTAAATATGAGTGTCAAAATATTAAATATCCTTACAAGATTTATTTCTGTGTATTTCCGAATCCATACAACACCAAACAGAAATTAACAATTTATTCCAATTTATAATTTTCGTGTTTCAAATTGAGTCACACCACGTCAACCGTGAGTAGAAATTTTCTAGATTTTTGGAAAAATAAAAGCAAATGTGAAAATTTGTAGCTCACACCGAACCAAAAAAAAACACTTTAAACCGTTTTTCAAAATTTTTATTTCTTATAAAACTATCCCTTCAACTTGGATAGTAGTGCTAGTGATATTTTCATAAATACGATTTTCAATTTGAAACAGGAAGACTTCCTATAAGGAAAATTTTTTTAATTTGAATAGCAAGTAGAAACTTTTTTTTTCTTCCCACTCTCTTTTCTGCTTTTTCGGCTTTACATCTTTAAAAATCTGACTTATTTTCTTTCTTAGGTTAAAATCACCTATCAACTAGCCCTTCTCTTTTTTCTGAAAAAAGGTTTTACATAATTCTGAACTCTGTTATTTTTTGTTTCAGCCAACTCAAGCAAAGTGGAGAATTGTATTTATGTTATCTGCAGCAATTTATATCGTTTGTGCAACTTTTTATCTAATATTTGGTTCTGGTGAACGCCAGGCATGGGACAATCCAGATAAAGATACTAATGAAAATAAAAGTAATTTAGAAGCAGTAAAAACAACAAATGAGACTCAACAGTGACAAATGTAGCATACCTATAATTCTTGCCATTATTTTATTAAATATTTTATTATTTTGTTAGAAGCCGATTTTATAAATTTGTCAATTGAAGATAAAAATATCAGTTTAGCTTATCAGAATTTATAATTCGAAACTTAAAATCAACTTGACAGATGTGTAAAATTGGCTATAACAAGTCACAAAAACATCTTTCATGTTAGGGTATTGCATTTGTTGAATAGTTCAGTGCACGTATACAATATAAATGTTTGTAGTATTCTAAAAAATTTGAATATTTATGATCCTTGCGTTTTAGTGTTGAAAGAGGAGATATACATTTATAAGAAAGGAATAGACAATGAATGCTCAATAATTTTAGAATACTAATTGGTCAATTCCAATGTAGGTTTTTATTTTGCCAAAGCTTTAATTCTTACGAAATTTATTTTTTCTAAAGCATAAGAAAGTTGTTGAAAATTTCCGTTTGGATGCAACTAGTTTTCTAAATAAAAATGCAGAGATTTATTTAATTTATTTAAATGTTTTAAAGTTACAATTATCTCATGTTTTTAAAAAAATAAATTTTAGGAAAATAAAACTTCATGTTAAGATTCTATTACTTTTTAGCCAACCATATTTACTGATTAAATCAAAATGAAACAAATTCTGCCTGCATTTGGTACTATTGAACAAAAGTAGAACCAAAAAAGTGTTTATGCATCTTTTGGTGAGAAACAACAGTAATTTTTATTAACACAACATTCCTAGAATGATTGATTTGATTTTTTTTAATGATAATTTAATTATTATTTTTCAAAAAAGAAAAATTTATGATTTATTATTGATTTCATCCAAGACAGAGATCAAAGTTCATTTTCAAATTTATTTGATACCGATTCACTGGTTAATAAAAATATTGTTTTGTAGTATATCAAACTCTACACTGAAAAAACGATATTCTAGATTTAAGAATGCCTACTTAAATAGGAGCCAAGAATATTCTCTACTTAAAGTAAGTGAAAAATATTCTTACAATAAATAATATATTCTTGGCTTCTATTTAAGTAAAGGCATTCTTAAATCTAGAATATTCTTTTTCAGTGTACAAAAAATTTTCTAGATCTGACATGATTTAAAAAAATTAAACCAAAAAAATAAAGTTGTATTGCAAATGTCAATTTTTTAAATGTTAAATCCTGTTGTAGATAAAAGTCAATTATACAGCACAGAACTAATGAAAAACTGTTTTTATTAATTTTATTACATTTTTTTGAAATATTATTATTAGAATATTAATTTATAGGTACTTTAAAAAAAGTTTAAAATGTAAGTATGTATATATTTATAAATTTTTGTTAAAAATTTTTCATATTTTTTATAATAGAAAGGTAATATATTATTTTTTGAAGTGAAAATATTCAGAATTCGTAAATGTGAATATTAAAAATATTCCACAAAAGTGTTAACAGAAATACATGTTGTTTTCAGCAAAGGGTGAGTAAACGTATAAAATGAATCATCTTCATTCCCTACTATATGGTCCATCACAGAATAACTTCGCGAACGGCTTTCGCAAAGTTATTGTGTGTTAACCTTATCTATTAAAGGTTTTAAAGTACTATCGATGGCAATAATTTGTGACGTGAAAGATTATTACAATTTAAGAATAAATTTCGAGCGTAACAAAAATAGAATCATCGTTATTCTTTTATGTAAAAGTCACTGTGAAATCGAAAACGTAACTATTATCATTTTCAATGTCACAATTACTTTTTAACATATTAATGTTAATATTACCAGAAATGATTTTGTTGTTTCTAAATCTGAAAAGTATTGCTACAAGTTTTGATAGAAGTCTACTTTATGCTACCAACTATTTCTAAATTAATTTTGTGTCCTAAACAAACAGCACCGCTACAATTGGTATTAATAATAAGCCATATATGTTTGTAAACACAAAAAATATCTTCTTGAAATTCGGATAATCAATAAATTTACTTTTATTTACAGTATACCTTAAGGGCAGGTCAAAGTCGATGCGATTTTCCCATTGAAGATCTATGTAAAAATTGCTTCGACTTTGACCTGCCCTTAAGAAATTATGCAATCTCCCCTGTTTTGATGAATGTAAAACAACTTTAATTTTAAGAAATGTAATAACTAATATAATTTTTATAATTTCTTTACATTGTCAGAAATAATTAACGTTTCTTTAGTATACTTGATTTCATTTAAATAATATTTCTGTTTTATAATTAAAATTACTTGAAAATAACTTATGATTCATTTTTTACTTCACAATTTTTGAGTGTAGCATATTTTGATAGACAACTTTAAAAATCACTTCTACAACAGAAAATTATATGTAAAAATACATAATTAAAATTTTTTCTCTTTATATTTTGACATCATTTCTTGACTTTTTTATTTAACTTTCACGGCAGACAAATTTTATGGATTTTTATATAAATTTTAATAAGTAATTAAAAGTTCATTGAAAAGAAGAGGTAGCAAATTTCCTGTGACAGGGTATCTTTATTAAATTTGTTAGACACATGATATATTTCTCCAAATTATTACTCAAATAATGGTCGACTACTAAAAAATTATTATTTATGAATAATAACTCAAGTAAAGAATAGATTCCTAATTTCTTTTGTTATCGATTCCCCGAATTTCAGTAGCTCAATATTTTGTAATTACGGTAAATATTATTTAAGGAAAGATAAGATACGTCGATTGCAGTGGCACTACTTCTTTTGGACACGATATTAAGTTTATTTTTTTGTTTTTTATATAAGTATAATTTTATTTGTTATTTAAGAATGTTAATTTAAAAGTATGTGATGAAGCTTAAAAAGCCTTGTGAGAGTATTGTGCCTTTTAGGATGTATAATAAAAATAGGTACACAAATGTAGTCCGTAATTTAAATTTATAAATAAATATACATTATATTTAAAAATCACTAAAAATTTAGTAAATAAATTATTTGGAACAAATAATGTGTTTTTTCTAGTAAGCAACTAGTTAATTTAAATTATAAGGAGTCAATTAGTCTAAAGTCATTAAAATTTTTGTTTGTTATGGTTTAATAGTTATAAAAAAAACGGCAAGTGCGAGTTACACTCGCATTAAAACCGAGTGTTCCGTACCCTTAAACCTAAAAATTGAGGGGGTTAAAGTGTGAAGGCCGATGGAAAAATTCTAATTTTGCTTAATTTTTCCTGTAATTTGAGCATGAAAACACGTAGATAGACACATAGATAGAAAATTATCAGTTTTTCCTAGAAAATGCTATGATATAATCAACTCCAATCGTGCTCACTATATTTTTTTGTAATCTACACGTGAAAATGTGTAAATTTGAAGCCCTTTAGATAAAATTATCTTCGTTTTTTAAGGAAAAATCATGATTTTTATTGAAAATTATGTTTTTCCTTGAAAACGCTATGATATAATCAACTCCAATAGTTCTCACTATATTTTTTTTGTAATCTACTCGTAAAAATACGTAAAAATGTATAAATTTAAATCCATTAAGATAAAATTTAATTTTTTTTTATTCGAAAAATCCATGTTTTTTTCTAAAAATATGAGTTTTTCTCAAAAACAATATGATCATCAACTCCAATCGTTCTAGCTATATTTTTCCTGTAATATACACGCAAAAATACATAAGTGTACCAAATTTGAGCTCTCTATGTGAAAAGATGTGGCCACCAGGGGTGGCTCTTAGTAATTTTTAGGGATTTTTCGTAAAAATTCATGGCTGTTGTAAGCTTACCGTAAGGTTACTGTAAGGTTTCTGTAAGGTTACTGTAAACATAGAATGTTATTAATAAATAAATTTTATTAATATTTATGCATGAAGTAGTTCATGAAGTACTTTACCAAATATATATTTTTTTATAAAAAAAATTTATAATATAATATATATATTATAATATAATTATTTTTAATATATTTTCATATTACTCTATGTTTACAGTAACCTCTGACAGTAACCTTACGGGAAGCTTACAACAACCTTACCGTGTAAGCTTACCAGAACCTAGCCATGTAAACTTACCACGACCTTACTGTGTAAGCTTACCTTAGCTTTACTGTGTAAGATTACTGTAATGGCGGAAGTTTTAAGATGACCTCAAGTTTACTATAGACTTACACGGTAACCTTACAATCCCTACGGATATCCTTACAGTAACCTTACAGCAAGAAGTCGTGTTATGTGAGAAGTAAATGATAAATAAAATAAAATTATTTGTTTAATTTTACTGATTTTGAACCATTGCTAAAATCTTGGAAACCATGGTAAATTAAAAAAAAAATTTGATTTTGGACTACCCGGTGCGAATTAAGGTTGGCTGCCAGAGTTTGATGATTGGCCCAAAGTTAGACCAACTCTGGGGGACCAAACTACGCTTGTCGAAGTTGGGCCAACCGTTGGCAAAACTTCGGATTCCAGAGTTTCAAGTACCTAAATAGTTTGGGTCGCACAACTTTAACAGTAGGTAGGGCCAACCATTGGCAAAACTTCGGGAGCCAGAGTTTCAAATACACAAATTCATATGGTCGGCATAACTCTGGCCAAAGTCGTGCCGATTGTCGGTTAAACTTCGGCAGCCGGAGTTCAAAATTCAGAATTTCTAATGGCCATAATCGGGCCGATGGCACAAAAAATCGTTTTATGGATAATTTTTTTTATACGGTTTAATATTCTTCTACAATATTCTAATTTTATGTGATAATAATCTTAATAATAATGATTGATAGTTATATCCAATTATTATTATTATTATTAATATTATTATTAAAGTAGTACCGACAGAACCCCATTGAAAATTGCCACATAGGCTCCCATATGGGAAACCACATGGGTCCCTATATAGGAAGCCATATGGTTTCCTATACAAAATCGTAATTGGAACAGGAATTTGAATAGGAAATTAAGTTGGAATTATCATATGAATCCACATTCACACAGGAATGTACATTCCTATGTATATTCCTATTTCAATTCCTATAATATGAATTTTTTTTTCAACTCTAAGATATATATCTTTCAATAGTAGAGGTTCCTGAGAGACTACAGAGATGAAAAAAATGTATTGCGCAGCCGAAAAACTTGAAGAAAACTACTGCGCATGATATTAAGATACAATGTGCATTCATATGATAATTCCTACTTAATTTCCTATTCAAATTCCTGTTCCAATTACGTATACGATTTTGTATAGGAAACCATATGGCTTCCTATATAGGAGCCTATGTGGGATTTTTCAGTAGGAAAGTGGGCCACACTTTGAATTTTAGGCTATAGAATGTTAAAAAAATTATAATTTGAAAAATTTTTTTCGTTTATTTGTAGAGAAAGGAATTATCTAACGTTTTGCAAGCATAAAATTAAAAATTTTAACATATTGTTTTACATGATTATGTAAAAAAAGAGAAATTCTCGATTTCACGATTTTGTGGACAGTAGTGGGCCACCCAAGTTTTTCATCTAAAATAAGTAAAAGTATCAAGAATTATGATTTTTATGTTAAATAATTATTAATTTTTTCAATGAATGGGTGTTGGAAACTTGATCGGCTTATATCGGCAGTAACACAAACAGCGCGTTCTGAAATTTTCTTGATTTTTGGTTGTTTTACAGCAACAAACAATTTATCGAAGTTGATGGACTCATAGCCAGTCCGTTTTTTTGTGGCATAATCAAAAAATTGAAATTAAGTTTAAAAAACTACTTACAAAAACACTAATTGTCGAAACAGTACGTCAATGCAGTGGTCCACTTCTGTCCACAAGCATAATTTTACGCAAAATAACGTGGCGAGAATACCACGCGATAATATGCTAAAATCATTTTACACTTTTTAAGGTTAAGTCTATTAATATAAAAGAGGCTACTTATCCGATTAAATTCAATGGATAACTTATACAAATAACGATATCTTTCTCAAGGAAAAAGAAGAAAAAAGTATGTATTTTCTAGTACTAATTGTCGATGCTACTCTATAATTATTCCAATTACTAATAACAATAAAAATAATAATAATTAAATTTTATGAAGAAAAAGTCGGCCCGTTAGTGGCTGACAGTTGGGCCGACCATAAAATTTGTAAAGTAAATTTCTTTACATTCCTGGTCAAAATAAAAAAATTTTGTGACATTTTATTTAACATTTAAATGGATTAACTAAAAAATAACAAGGGTTATCTGATTAATTTTTTATCATGAATTACAAACCCTGGCGGATTATATGATGCGAATGCTCCACCAAATTGAGGGAGCATTCGTGGAGCACGAGATCGAAATTTTATCTAAAATGTATTGGCGATTCAAACAGCTACACTAGCGCCACAGTTGAACTAATTTAGGCGTGACTCGCTCTGTAACACTCCATGTGTTTTAAATTATTTTTTTTTATTTAACGCTTAAAAATAATTTTACAAACGCAATAAAAATATCAGAATAATTAAATAATTTGAAATAAACTGTCAAAACAGAGACTGCTTTAGAGCGAGTCACGCCTAAATTAGTTCAACTGTGGCGCTAGTGTAGCTGTTTGAATCGCCAATAAAAATGATGAAATTATTATAATTATTAAAATCAATAAGTTTTATGCATTTTAAGATGATTATTGTTGAATAATTATAAAATTTTTATGTTTTTATTAATTTCAATATCTTGCAGTTGATTGTCAACATCTGTCGATAAAATCAATACAGCCGCGATTTTTAGCAGGTAGGTGGCATCACTCTTGATTTCTTTTCTTTAAATTTTTTCTATATTTTTTTTATCAAAAGCAAAATTATTTGTTCAACGGAAATATTAGTAAAAAAATGTATTATTTTATTTAAAAAACTTAATATTTTAATAAAAAAATATTATTGGTAACAAAAATTTTAAAAAAATTAATTTTTTTTGTCTCTTTTGTTTAATTCACAAGTCAGAAGTAAACTTGAGTACGCGAACATTATCTGGAATCCTTATTTTAATAATCACTCGGACGACATAGATTACATTCAAAAACGTTTCCTTAAGTATTTGGCATTTAAATTGGACGGTATTTATCCTCAACGTCCATCCAATTATATGCAGTTATGCCATAGATTTAATGTCTTACTAGACGTAGACTGCGCGCGCCTTTTAAGTTGGTATTTCGTGCTTGACCAGAAATAAGTAAAGAATATTCATATTGCAAATGTCAAAATGTGTTATGATTGAAAATTAGTCAAAAGTTCAATCTTTTGTCGATAATAATTTATTTGACCGGAATTTATGATGTCAACACTCTTAAAAGTCGACATTTTATTAGAATGCTTTTATATGAAATTGGTTTGTCATTTTCTAGAAAGGACATAGAACCATCTTGAAACTTAATGAAACTGTCTAGAAACTTAATGAAGACTTTTAGAATCTTCATAGAACGTTCTAGTAAATTTATAAAAACTTATAGAAATTCCGTAGAATTTTCTAGAAATTTCTTGAAATTTTTGAGAAACTTTGTGGAACATTATATTCACAATACCTTGTACTATCTTCATGGAATTATCTATATACTTTATGGAACCTTCTAGAAACCTCATAAAACTTTTTAGGGTTTTCATTGGAATTTTCTAGAAACTTCATGGAACTTTCTGTTCATAGAACTTTTCAGAGTTTTCATGAAACTTTCTAAGAACTTCATGGAACTTTCTAGGAACTTAATGAAACTTCGTAGAAACTTCATGAAGCCTTCTAGAATTTTTGTGGAATTTTCTAGAAACGTCGTGGAATTTAAAAAAAAATTTAATGAAACTTTTTAATGCCTTCATGGAACTTCATAGAAACTTAATGAAACCTTCTAGAATCTTTACAGAACTTTCTAGACAATTCATGGAACTTTTCATTCATGAAACCTTGTAGAGTCTTTACGAAACTTTCTAGAACGTTTTATGAAGCCTTTTAGTAATTTCATAAAACCGTCTACAATGTGCATGGAACTTTATAGAAACTT